AGCATGTTAAACTCATCGAGATATCAACGAAAGAAAGTAGTAAACTTGAGGGTATCTGTAGTCAGACAAACAAAAGATGCGGTCAACTAGGGTACATTCTTAATAATAGTTACGACCTGTTAAAAATCAGAAAACAAAATCAAAGCGTAGGGAATATACCTAAAAATGAAGTAGATTTAATAAAAACAGGTCATAAATTCGATGGCGCCTCCGTTCATTCAGCGACGAAGAAGGGCGAACGCCAAAACGACGCATGGCAGGAAATAGGATTCATAGCGAATTAACTGGATGGCATGAAGAAATACACGTAAATGCATGGAAACACAAAAATTAGTGACTCCGAGAAGAGAGAGATAATTCAATTCAATTCAATATTCTGAGATTTCGATTCATGAAAAAAATGTTTGCCACTAAAGATTAACTTCCTTTACACCTTTAATACCGGGTCGAAGCGGCATAAGCACCGTCCCCTTGCTCTAGTCGCCTAAGGGACCATTAATGCAGGCCACGGCTCCATGGCATTTGAAGTTATTGAACTTTGACTGAGGTGAAGGTCACTAATAGGTGTCCAAGTCTAGCAAGCCGTATGACCGATGGTTTTTGTGTCTCGTTGCTGCACTTAGAAAATTCTTACCAAGTGCAAGAGAATAAGCTGCCTGAAAGGCTCATCGCTTATTCGTTTCTCCAGTAGGGGCTCTGAATTTTTTGGTTTGACAGATCAAAATGGCATACAACTGCTGCTGTTAAGAATGGAGACCAATAATTTCAGACACAGTTAAATGGATTTCACTGATAACTACTTTCAGAGTCTGACTGACCTTCACGAACAGAATTCTACGGTCATTTCGTCCTATCCAGTGGTCTAGTAGTCAGGGTTATATCTTTTCATTAGTTCTAGAGGCTAGTTGGATTGTCAGGGCACTTACAGACTGATAATGAGGAATTATAGAGGTGCTTGAAGTATTATGGCAAAAGCACTTCCTGCAGGAGTTCATAAACTGACTAAACTCTGCCATTTCACCGCATAAGTTACAGGTTTATCGTTGGCCGAGTGTAAGTAGTACATTTAGAAAAAGTAAATCACTCGTGGCACAAATCAGATGCTGAATTTGATGATTTTACTACAATATCTTGCACCTGTCACCGAACAGCATTAAATTGTTGATTGTTGGTCCATAGATGTAAGTGTCATTTACCATTGAGAATGAGTTGAGTTTCAACAATAAAGCATCGACTCATGCATAACTGTTTACCAACAACAGACTGGCTATGCATGCGGGGTAAGCGGAATGTCTTGCAGCAGAACGACGTGCTTCAAGCCCATCTCAAAGCAAATAAAATCTCAATTGGACATTTGAGATATACTTGACCTGTAGATTAATTTCGCTCTTAAACTACAACGTTTCTTTTGGAGACAAGAACTAAAGTCATTGGTTCCTGAGCAACTGATGGTAGACTAGCTTCCGACGAATAAGACTCTTCTAACGGATTGATTTAAGCAAAATGAGGTCTGAAAGATCTTCGAAAATGCAGCAATCACTCTACTTCAAGAAAGGCATTCTAAGTCAATAGTTAAAGGGATTTTCAGACAACTATGGTTGTGCTCCAACCTAAAATGGACGAGGTGGTTTGAAAATATGCAAAAATATCTACAAATCTGCAAAATGCTTAGACGATGTTGCTTTCGAGTAAGGTTGGTTCAGACTATCGATGATGCACGCTCTTATATACTGATATAAGTGATGAGAAGATTCATAAAGATCTTATGGAGTGCTGTCGACATTTGAAGATCTCAGACCTGATCAGAGATCTTAAACTCTGGCAAATGGGATAGATCGCAGAAGTGAACCTGTCAAAGCATGAAAATCGACACAAAACAATACAATGATTCTGCAACCAGAGAACCATCTTGAAGGAAAATATTGAGTAAAATTCACAACGCTTAGCTCTTGAAAACGCATATTTTACATATTGCGCAACCATTTTAAAAAGATTGGGGGGGGGGGCTATTTAGTACTGCTGCGGTTCAAGGGTGTTATGTAGTTATTTTCAGGTTCAATGTATGAACATATATTTATGATAGTTAGCACTCACATGCATTCATTTTACACCATAGACCTTTGTCTATCCAATACTGGATGCATTTTAATTCAACAAACTCCTACAACTCACCTTACCTTCCATCTGCAGGTCTTTCTACGGGCCGTATACTCTCTCCTGGAATCCAGTCAGATATCACTGTGTTCCAGCTATGATTGTTTCTTCTTGTAACTTCCCTATTGCCACTTTAACATGGAATGACATCGTGGATTCTTATTTGTGCTTTTACACGTTGATTCTTCTTCATATTTTTTATGCTACTCTCAAGAGACCTAATTTACCTGCTGCGTTGTGTGGTCTGCGGTTTAAGAATAGCTTTCAGGATTAGAGTCCTCGTTTATCATCTACAGGTTAGCACTGTAGCACACAGGATCAAATACTTTCAAGCAAACGGGCAGTTTCACGGAGAGGAATATTTTCAGTGTTCCAAAAGGACTACATTTTGACATGTTGATCTTTGATCCATTTCAATTTTAAAAGATGACCCGAGTCTATATAACATAGTATCCCCAAATTTGCGTACGTATCTTTTAGCACGTCGCTTAGCAATTTTGACAATGGAAACGGATGATTGAAAAATTACATTTTACAGATTAGGTTTCTATGCAAGCATTCAGAATTATCCCTAACCTGGGCGTA